TATTCTTTTCTTTCCTTGGTAATTCCTGTTTTCGTTGACTTTTCCGTGCTCGTTCTTATTCTCGTTTACATGCTAGTTCTGATTTCCATTCTTATCGTTGTTTTCTTTCTACTTACTACTTCTCATTCCAATTCTTTTCGTTATTTTCGTTCTCATTTTCATTTTAGTCCTCTATTATTTTCGTTTACATTGTAATTCGCATGTTAATTTTCATTCTTGTCCGTATTGTCGGTTTCATTCTCATTCTCGTTCTAATTTTCATTCACATTATCATATCCGTTCACATCTCGATTCGGCCCATCGCGCTCATTCTTATTTTCGTTCTCTTTCCCAATCTCATTCTGATTACACTGTGTAACAAAAAAATTATTATCTTGCTTTTTTTACATTTATCGTTGTATCCTGATGTAACTTTTGACATGCTGTGGTTCGTTTGGTCGAACTGTCCCTATTTTCATTTATTTAATTTTTTTGTAAAAGAAAAAAAATTGTATATATTTTGCGTTCAAATTCGAAAATCGTAGCCACACGCAGGTGTAAATTATCTGCAACTTCTTTTTGTTACATTTGCGGTTATTGCAAAACTCTTGTCTAAGTGAAATATAAAATAGTTCCTACGACAAAGTTCTGGGTAGCATATGAAGCGTACTTTGAGAGAACTATTAAGAACCAGGATAAACCATGGGTTCATCTTGTTTACTGCAGAAGTTGCCGGTCAAGTTTGGAAGCATGGTTTCGAGGAAATCTTACCTAAGTCTGTAGCATTTACCATTTCCCGTTTTTTAAGAAACCCAAGTAACCATCTTACTGGTTGTCATATATTTTTGTACGGTAACTATATTTTATAATTTAATTAACGTGGCAGCCCTCCCAAGCCTCAGGGCCACGCGAAGGTTCATTTTTATTTTTATTTGTAAATAATTTATGCCTTTTTTTTTGTAGTATTTCCAATTAATTAAACTGCTTTCGTTTTTTTTTTAATTAAAATTTTGACATTTTTCACTAAACAACAAATAGTTAAATATTTTTTATGTTAGGGACTCTCTGTACGAACAAAATTCACATTCTCTAAGTATAGACTAAATTACACCCAAAACCACAAAAAAAGTCAGATAAATATTATTTTTCTATAAATTTGTTACATAGTGTTATCGGCCACTTGGTGTTCCTCAATTTCCTTTTCATTCCGTTTGTCATTCTCGCTCTTTTTTATTCATTCCCATTCTTATTCATATTCTAGTTCTCATTCGAATCTTCATTTTAGTTCTCATTCTTCTTTTAATTGTGTCTTTCGTCTTTATTCATTGTTGAATTTCTTGTTCACACTTCCATTTGCATCCTAATTTCATTCTCGTTCATATTGTAATATTCTGATTCTCATTCTCTCGCATCTAAATTCGCACTTTCATGCTTTTTTTGTTATTCTTTTCTTGTTTTCCTTTTCGTTCTAATTTTTATTCTCTTTGCCATACTTCCATTTCCTTGGTAATTCTTGTTTTTGTTGACTTTTCAGTACTCGTTCTTATTCTCGTTTACATGCTAGTTCTGATTTCCATTTTTGTCGTTGTTTTCTTTCTACTTACTACTTCTCACACCAATCCTAGTCATTATTTTCGTTCCCATTTTCATTTTAGTTCTCTATTATTTTCATTTACATTGTAATTCACATATTTAATTTTCATTCTTGTCCGTATTGTCGTTTTCTTTCTCATTCTCGTTCTAATTTTCATTCACATTATCATATCCGTTCACATCTCGATTCGGCCCATCGTGCTCATTCATATTTTCGTTCTCTTTCCCAATCTCATTCTTATTATCGGCCACTTGGTGTTCCTCAATTTCCTTTTCATTCCGTTTGTCATTCTCGCTCTTTTTTATTCATTCCCATTCTTATTCATATTCTAGTTCTCATTCGAATCTTCATTTTAGTTCTCATTCTTCTTTTAATTGTGTCTTTCGTCTTTATTCTTTGTTGAATTTTTTGTTCACACGTCCATTCGCATCCTAATTTTCATTCTCGTTCATATCGTAATATTCTGATTCGCACTTTCTCGCATCTAAATTCGCACTTTCATGCTTTCTTTGTTATTCTTTTCTTGTTTTCTTTTTCGTTCTAATTTTTATTCTCTCTGCCATACTTCCATTTCCTTGGTAATTCTTGTTTTCGTTGACTTTTCCGTGCTCGTTCTTATTCTCGTTCACATGGTAGTTCTGATTTCCATTCTTGTCGTTGTTTTCTTTCTACTTACTACTTCTTATTCTAATCCTATTCATTATTTTCGTTCTCAATTTCATTTTAGTTCTCTATTATTTTCGTTTACATTGTAATTCGCATATTAATTTTCATTCACATTATCATATCCGTTCACATCTCGATTCGGCCCATCGCGCTCATTCTTATTTTCGTTCTCTTTCCCAATCTCATTCTTATTATCGGCCACTTGGTGTTCCTCAATTTCCTTTTCATTCCGTTTGTCATTCTTGCTCTTTTTTATTCATTCCCATTCTTATTCATATTCTAGTTCTCATTCGAATCTTCATTTTAGTTCTCATTCTTTTTTTAATTGTGTCTTTCGTCTGTATTCTTTGTTGAATTTCTTGTTCACACTTCCATTCGCATCCTAATTTTCATTCTCGTTCATATCGTAATATTCTTATTCTCTTCTTGTTTTGTTTTTCGTTCTAATTTTTATTCTCTTTGCCATTCTTCCATTTCCATGGTAATTCTTGTTTTCGTTGACTTTTCCGTGCTCGTTCTTATTCTCGTTCACATGCAAGTTCTGATTTCCATTCTTGTCGTTGTTTTCTTTCTACTTACTACTTCTCATTCCAATTCTTTTCGTTATTTTCGTTCTCATTTTCATTTTAGTTCTCTATTATTTTCGTTCGCATTGTAATTCGCATATTAATTTTCATTCTTATCCGTTTTGTCGTTTTCATTTTCATTCTCGTTCTAATTTTCATTCATATTATCATATCCGTTCACATCTCGATTCGGCCCATCGCGCTCATTCTTATTTTCATTCTCTTTCCCAATTTCATTCTTATTATCGGCCACTTGGTGTTCCTCATTTTCGTATTCATTCCGTTTGTCATTCTCGCTCTTTTTTATTCATTCCCATTCTTATTCATATTCTAGTTCTCAATTTTTCTTTTAATTGTGTCTTTCGTCTTTATTCTTTGTTGAATTTCTTGTTCACACTTCCATTCGCATCCTAATTTTCATTCTCGTTCATATCGTAATATTCTGATTCGCATTTTCTCGCATCTAAATTCGCACTTTCATGATTTCCATTCTTGTCGTTGTTTTCTTTCTACTTACTACTTCTCGTTCCAATTCTTTTCGTTATTTTCGTTCTCATTTTCGTTTTAGTTCTCTCTTATTTTTGTTTACATTGTAATTCGCATCCCAATTTTCATTCTTGCCTGTATTCTCGTATTCATTCTCATATTTCGTTCTCTTTTCTCATTCTCGCACTTAATCTCATTTCCATTCTGATTCATATTATGGTTCTTTTTCTCGTTCTAATTTTCACTCTCGTTCTAATTTCCATTCTCTTTCCCATTCTCGTTCTTATTCTGGGCGACTTACTCTCTTGTTTTTGTTGTCTATTACTAATTTCTATTACTAATTGTCGTTCTCATTGTAATTTTTACTCTCTATCTCATAATCGTTTGCATCCTGAATCCCATTTTCATTGCTATTCTTATTTTGTTGGCTTCTCATTCTCATTCTAATTTTAGTCGTTATTTTGGTTCTCATTCTCGTTTTCGTTGTTCTTGTTATTCGGATTCTCGTTCGCCGCCTAATTTTTATTCTTGTTCCCATTCTAGTTATCTTTCTCGTTTTAATTTTAACATTAACATTCTCATAGGCTTTCACACTTCAATTCCCACTTTTATGCGCATTCTTGTTCTCGTTCTCTTTCCTATTCTCGTTCTTATTCTTGGCGTCCTGTAGATGTCATTTGTATCCTCATTCTCCTTTCGATTATTATCCTAGTTTTCGTTCTAATTTTAATTTACTTTGTCATGCTTGCATCCTAATTTCTGTTTTGTACTCATTCTTGTTTTCATTATTTTTCCCATTCTCATTTTGTCGTCTATTTCATCATTCCTTCGCATTGTAGTTTAATTTCATTCCTTCTCCCATTCTTGACTGTCTCTTTCGTCCTTATTCTCTTTCTCATCCCGTTCACATTCTAATTCGCCTTCTAATTTTCATGATACTCTCTCGATCTTTCATTATTCCCATTCTCGTTTTTATTCCGATTATCGTTCTCATTCTCATTCATATCCGTACTTCTAATTTCTGCTCCTTTTAATTACACCTCCATCTCATCTTTCCTTCGCATTTTAAGAGTTCTTATTTTCATTCCTACTATCACTCAATTTTATGCTTCTCCTTTCTTTTTCATTCTCATTTTCGTTCCCATCGTCATTTTCTTTGTGCTTTTCGTTCTCATTTCTAGAATCATATACATATTGCCATAATTGATTTTTACTAATTAAATAACCATTAGGAAACACAATTTGAAACTTTTTGTTTTTCAAAAAAGTTGAAATTAGTAATAATAGTGATACTTTTTGTTTTTCATAAAATTAAAAATAAAAACTTGAAAACTGTCGACGTTAAACGTTTCCTTTTTCGCAGAAGCCGTAAAATTCCAACAGCACTTAGACACGTTTCTCCTTATCTAATGAATTAAGCTAAAAAAATCGACTCCCACGGCGAATTTTCCCGTTTTAAAGCCATTAATCAACATGAGAACGCACTCGTGCATTATTTTTACCCCATTTTTTCTACTCCGTTCCACTAATCACATTATCTCATTGAACGCACTCTTAATTCAGAATTAACCCGATTTTTGGAGTTGAAGTCGCCGGAAAAGTCCATCCTCCCACCGATCGATCACATTTCTATTGTGTATTTTTTCATCATTTTCCTTTTAAGGAAACCACGAAAGCAACTTTAAATAAACTGAGCTTTTTTTTTTCAGTCATTCCAAGGCAGCCAAGGCCGGGCGTATTTGTTCAACTCAGTGTAAGTATTCCCATTAATATTAGATACTTCTCAGTGGATTAACGATTTTCTGTTATGTTTACGTGGACGGGTTAAAATGACATTGACCTTAACCGTGTAATCGTATTTAGAGCGGAGATAAAAGGGAATTTTGGGTTAAAATTGATAGAGAGGAGGCGTAAAACGTGATCAGCTGGTTTCGACATTGACAGAGCGCGCCTTATCGGACTTAATCAAGGCATTTTTTACTGTTTCGCAATGTTGTTTGTAATTGAGGATCGAATGCTTTTAGGGTCTGTGTTTGCGAGTTTTGTAGTGTTTTGTCTACTTTCGGCCGAATAATCCGCTATTTAACCTTGCCGAACTGTTACGACCCATTCATATTAAGGAGATTATGCGTTATCGAATCAAACAATATGGAAATTCGGGGCGGAGGGGCTCATTTTGGCGGTAGAGCCCATTGTGAGAGGCTTAACGTTAGCAGGGGGAGTTGCGGAATTGGAATTTTCGGAGTGTTATTTGAAAGAGAGTATTATTGTACAGGTTTTTTATTCATTAAATGGCGTTGAATTCGGTATAATTAATTGTGCACAAAGTCGGCGAGCCCGCTCTTCGCATTTAATTAGGGTTTTAGCGAATGTTGTTGACGAACGTATTGCTAATTTCTGTGGAAAGCGAAAAAAAATTGAGCTTACGAAAAATTAAGTTTTCCCGATACATCTAAATAATTGCTTGCATTAATTTTTTCTCTACAAGAAAATGAATTTAGTAAAATCTCGAAATCGTCGCAATTTGCATGTGGAAAATTTTATTTTTCAAAAAAAAATCTCTCAAAAAATTCAGGTTGACCTAGTGGTTTAAGAAAAAACATCAAAAATAAATCACACATCGCCTTCTATATTTTAATTTTCGAGCACGTTAGGTGGATGATAAAGCGGAAATCGATAAAACCATGACCACAAATTATGTCGTAATTTGTTATAGAGTTTCCTATAATAGGATTTACTAAAAACTTCTTGCATTATGGTCGTATTATTGGGGCTCCGAAGTACAAAATCTACTTAATAATTACAAAGTAAAAACTGCCAGAGAAGTCTCGAGGTTAATGAGTTGAGAAATTATTTTCATTACTCAAGTAACGTCAAATTAAAATGTTAGCTAACTTGGGTTGAATGGGATTAAAACAATGGGAGAAAAATACTCGCGTGAAAAAAATTAAATTAAACTCGGAATCGTCGACAGCTATTCGTTCCACTGCGCACGATTGCTTTGTGAGTTAAAAAAAAATGTGTTCTGAGTTGCCTAATACATACAAAGAGGGAAAAAAAAATTAAAAACAACTGCAAAATCTTTAGTAAAAAAATCAACACATTGTGAAATTGTTCAATGCAACACTTCGAGTTTTCATTTTAAGATTTTTCAGTTTTTCGATTTTCGAAATTTTGATTTTTCAAATTTTCGGCTTTTCAATGTTCTGATTTTATAATTTTTCTTTTTTTGAAGGTGAAATTATTGAATTTTTGGATTTTTCTGTTTCATGAATTTTAAATTTTTCGATTTTTCAGTGTTACGATTTTAGAATTTTTCCATTTTTCAGTTACGGGATCATAAAACTTTTTCATTTCTTCAAATTTTCGATTTAAAATTTTTCGTTTCGGTTTTTTATTTGCTTTTTACGATTTTTCGATTTTACGTTTGGATTTTACATTGTTTTCACTTTCAATTTCTTCAATTTTACGATATGCAAATCTTTGAGTTTTTAGTTTTAAATCTTTTAATTTTTCGATTCACCAAATTTTAGTTATTTCAATTTTTAATTTTTCAATTTCTCGATATTTACACTTTTTACGATTCAATAATTTTTGCGTTTTTTTAATGTTTAGCTTTTCCAATTTTTCCATTCGATTTGTTTTTGTTTTTCCAATTGTTCGATTCTATAATTTTTTGGAATTTTGAGTTTCTCGATTTTTAGTTTTTCAATTTTTCGTTTCTCCAGTTCTTCGATGTACAATTTTTGGATTTTCCACCTTTTCGATTTTGTAATATTTGTTTTTTGTTTAATTCTGTGATTTTTTATTTTTTTCTATTTTTTAGTTTTTCGATTTTTCAATTTTTCGATTTTTCGACATTTCGAATTAAAAAGATGGAAAAATTGCAAAATTGAAACATTTCAAAACTAGAAAACCCAGGAATTGAAAAATCAAAGATTGAAAAATTGAATAAACGAAAAATTATAAAACAAAAAAAAATTGAAAAATAAAGGAAATGAAAAATGAAAAATTAAAAAAAATCAGGAAAAAGCAGAATTTGCAAAATTGAAAAATCAAAAAATGGAAAATTGCAAATCGAAAAAGTGAAAAAATGAAAATTTTCAATTTCGATTTCAATTTTTCGATTAAAATATGTAATAATAATTATGATTTTAAAAAATTTTCATTTCTTCAATTTTTAATTTTTCAATTTCTCGATCTTTAATTTTTCAATTTTTCGACTTTACAATTTTTACGATTCTATAATTTTTTCGATTTTAAGTTTCTCGATTTTTAGTTTCTCAATTTTTCGTTTCTTCAGTTCTCCGATTTTCAATTGTTGGATTTTCCACTTTTTTCATTTTTCCGACTTTTTAGTTTTTCGATTTTTCAATTTTTCGATGTTTTAACATTTCGAATTAAGAAAATTAAAAAGTCAAAAATGAAAAAACGAAGAAGTATAAAATGAAAAATTTAAAAAACATAAATTGGAAATCAAGAACATGAAAAATTGAAGATAGAAAAATTCAAAAATCGATAAAGAGGAAAATCGAAAAAACGAAATATCGTAAATGCTGAAAATTAAAGAAATCGAAAAATTGGAAAACAGGAAATCCAAAAATTGCAAAATTGAAAAATTTAAAAACTAGAAAATCTGGGAATTAATTGAAAAATCAAAGATTGAAAAATTGAATAAACGAAAAATTATAAAAGAAAAAAACATTGAAAAATAAAGGAAATGGAAAACGAAAAATTGTGATATAAAATCGAGAACATGAAAATTAAAAAAAATCAGGAAAAAGCAGTATTTGAAAAATCGAAAAATTAAAGATTGAGTAACTGAAATATCGAAAAATAGAAAGTTGCAAATCGAAAAAGTGAAAAAATTAAATTTTTTCAATTTTTCATTTTTTCAATTTTTCGATTGAAGTATGTAATAATTATGTTAAAAAATTTTCAGTTCTTCGATTTTTAATTTTTCAATTTTTCAGCTTTCCAATTTTTACTATTCATTAATTTTTGCGATTTTATAATGTTTGGGTTTTCCAATTTTTCGATTCGATTCGTTTTTCTTTTTCGAATTTTTCGATTCTATATTTTTTTTGAATTTTAAGTTTCTCGATTTTTAGTTTTTCAATTTGTCGTTTCTTCAGTTCTTCGATTTTCAATTTTGTGATTTTTTATTTTTTCCGATTTTATAGCATTTCGATTTTTCAATTTTTCGATTTTTCAACATTTCAAAAATTTGAAAAATATGTAAATTGGAAATCAAGAAAATGAAAAATTGAAGATAGAAAAATCGAAATGCTGAAAATTAAAGAAATCGAAAAATCGGATAACTGGAAATCCAAAAATTGCAAAATTGAATTCGAAAATCAAAGATTGAAAAATAAAGGAAATGAAAAACAAAAAATTGTGATATAAAATCGAGAAAATGAAAATTAAAAAAATCAGGAGAAACAAGAATTTGAAAAATTAATAAATCGAAAAATTAAAAACTGAGTAACTGAATAATTGAAAAATTTGGAGATCGAATTTTTTTATTTGCCACCCTCTCAATTTTGCAATGTTTCTATTTTTCAAATTTTCGAATTCACAAAAATGGAAAAATCGCAAAATTGTAAAATTAAAAAATCAAAAATGATAAAACGAATAAGTAGACAAAATGAAAACTTGGAAAAATCTAAGAATTGCAAATCAAGAAATTCAAAAATTGACGAACTTAAGAATCGTAATATTGAACATTAAAGAAATCGGGAAATCGGGCAACTGGAAATCAAAAATTACAAAACTGAAAAATTTAAAAATTGGTAAAATCGAGGAATTGAAATATAAATTCCAAAGAAACATTGAAACAATAGAGGAAATGAAAAAACGAAAAATTGTGATATAAATTGAGGAAACGAAAATTTGAAATATCTAAAAATAAAAAATTGAGAAACTGAAAAATTATGAAACCGAAACATTGAAAAATGAAAAAAAAATGGAAAAAAATAATTGAGCGAAGATAAATATATCCAGTTTTTTCGAAAAATTATAAGATTTGAATTTGCGAATTTTATTATTATTATTGTCATAACGCTTAAAGTTAAAATAAATATACGAAAATTTAAAAATTGGTAGAATCGAGAAAATTTGAAAAATTGAATAAACGAAAAACTGTGATATAATAAAATCGAAAAAATGAAAAATAAATATAAGTAAAAAGGAAAATAAAAATTAAGAACTTTAAAATTGAGTAATCGAAAATTTGAAAAATTTGGAAGTAGAAAAAATTGAAAAAAATTTAGGTATTTAAAAAAAACGAAAAATGATTAAACCGAAACACTGAAAAATTGAAAAATGAAGTTAAACGAAAAATTGTGACATCAAAGATTAGAGTTTGATTACCTATTGGTCTAATATAAAGGGATACAGACAGCAGACAGAAATGGGAGACCACTTTTTTCCTAGTCTAGAGGTCATGAAACTTCGAGAAAACACGAAATTGTCAAGTCGTCCTATGTACTTGATTACTATAAAAGTTTTATACGCGCCATTATTTATTTTTATTTCTTCAATATTTCGATTTTTCAGTGTCCCGATTTTATAATTTTTTGTTTTTTCAATTTTAATTTTTTCAATTTTTCGTTTCTTTAGTATTTCCATTTTTTTTTCTATTCTGCGATATGCAACTGTTCGAGCTTTCATTTTTAAATCTTTTGGATTTGTGATTTCACGGGTTCTCAATTTTTTTGTTTCGTTTTTTACCAACTTTCAATTTTTCGGTTT